CCCCAATTTTTGCGGAGGCATCAATACGACATTCATCGTCTCATCGGTCGCTGTTCAGAAAGAAGTTAGGAGACAACCGTCAGAAATAATACAATGATTTATTATTGTAATATTTGTTCACAGACCTTAGTTGTAACATTGTTTATATGTTGGTGTAACAATAAAGAATTCTCGAGTTGCCAATTGGTGTTTTGGTTTTTTCGTCCGTTATAACTAAGCGTTTCTGAGAAACTTCAAGGAACAGTGTGAGTCCCAGCGTAGCGAGAGCTGGGCATTGACGGTTTGCGAGACGTGGCTGATAACAGGCTTCTTCACCGCACCGCTACCGTCACACCATTCGGAGTCAGACCTTGATGACGCTGATTTCACATTTAGCTTACCGCTAAACTTAGTCACTTCCTGACAATTCGCCTTTGTATGAACTTCTTGCAAATGTGTAAAACACAACCGTGTTTGTCTCGCAACTTGTAACCTATCAGTTGTTGATGTCACACGAAGGCTGTTACACACACTAAGTTTTTATGGATTACTAGACACCTTGAAGCTTTCTCGATATCCGCTTCTCTGAGACCCTTTCGTCACAAATGATCGCGTTTCGCTCGCTGACTTCTCATTTTCAGAAGCCGGTTGCAATATACTGATAAACATTATCTGTCACTACATTTACCAGCCTCGAATACGTTCTTAACAATCGTCGAAGATCTTCCAAATTTTTCACGGAGGATACGAATCGCCTCAGTATATCCTTCGTTTGGGGGGATTAAACCTTCAGCACTTTATAGCTCTAGCAGCAGCAGCAGTACGGAACCTCTGCAAATACATTAACTTCATTTCGTCACTTAGAATAAAACCGCTCAGCTTGAACTCAAAGTCCTTGATGATTGGTGGGTAGTCGGCTGGGTTTCCATCAAAGTACCGAGGTTCAAACTACGGGAGTCTTAACTTACTACTATCTCTAAACGGCGAAGAATGAACATCAGACTCATCACGTTGAGCATCATGCATATCATTACAATTAACGGGCAACTTATTGTTAAATACTTTTTGTCTGCTTCCACAGTGCCACGTCCCTTCCCTGACCCAGGCATTATCCAGTGTCACCAAAGAATCCAAATTGCGTTGATAATCCGTGTCCAAATAGATGCTGGCTGCAGACCCAGTAAGTAATCCCGGAAGTTCCAGAAGGCTCTCCAGAAAACGAATAAAACCTATCCAGAAAGCGAACAAAAACTGCTAAGGAACTTATCCCTAAGTTCCTATTGTTACAAAGACGCTCCGCACCGATAAATACTATGTACTTTCTTTGACTTTAACTCCAAAACACCAGTACTGTAAGAATGAAGTTATATTGTTTGGCAATTAAAGAGGAGAACAGTACAAGGTTTTATTCGTTTTTGATCGTCTTCGTCAAACCATTCGTGCCTTTGAGATGCCCACCAAGGGCCACCAGTTCCAGAAACAAAAGTTGAGTGTTCACCTCCACTGACAACACCCTATCAGTGTATTCGACTAAGTAAATAATAGTCAAAACACACGTGTTTCACTCTTTTCAGATTTGGTAGCTGTATGATAGCCGAACAATTTGGGGAATATGGTGATATTTCGGCCTCTTCTACAAAATTCAAAAATGTTATAAATTCTCCGACAAAAACCCGACCAACGACAAGTATCTAAGATCATCTCAGATACAAACAAGATTAAACCAGAAGTCATGAATAACGTCAGTGACGATGGACTCTGAAGCACAAAGTGACACTCGCATTAAACTGGGTGAACAAACGACATATAAAGGGGAAGTGTAACCCAAAGGGAGCATTAACTCTGGACTCGGTCTCGAAGTTCATGAGAAAAATCCCAGGAAATCTAAGCACTCCACACATGTCGTAGACGTGGGTGCTCCCACCACCGATAACCTGCAAATATCATCAGATCACATAGCACTCCAGGCCAACAAGATAAATGTCAATGTAGTTGAAGATTGGACGATCAATCCATTGTCGTTTGCTCAAACCCAACTCCTCCATATTTTTTCGTGGGAGTCATCAATCCACCAGTCATTGTCTCATCGTTTGCTGTTCGTTGGAAGAGAGAAAACTATCAGAAGTATTACTGTGATATATTGTTATAACATTTATTCTTGGACCTTGTGTGTAATAACCTTATTGCTGGTTACATATTGGCGTAAGAATAAAGGATTCTCGAGTCGCCAATCTCTGTTCTGGTTTTCTCGCGTCGGTTATTACACATTGTTTCTGAAAGTCTTCCAAGGACAGTGTGAGGACCAATGTAGTAAGACCTGGATATTGACAACATTCACACTGTTGAAGCCTGAAAGCAAGGTCTCTCCACAGGCGTCCATATACCTCGCATGTGACAAGCCAAAAAGCAGCATGTAAGCCTATAATAGAATGGTGCACTCATTGCGGCAGGTCCAATAAAGCAGACGGAACATTTGAGTGGAGGTGTTCCTCTTCGAATCCAAAGTAATAGGCAAATCGCACGTTAGCAGACACGCACGGGGCGCCGAGCTGAATAAATAGCAGAATGAGACCCACGATTTCCGCTATAGCCGGGGCTTATATATGCTTAAATGCACATATAACCTAAGCAAGGTAAACATGGGATCGTAGTCACTGATAACCGCCATAATGGCGGTGTCAAGTGAGTGTACATCCAAAACAGCACTGTATCTGTATAGGAAACAAAGAAGAGGTTCAAACTTAGGAATTTTAAAACTTCAATTATCGAAAAAAGTACATAGTATTTATCGGTGCTGAGCGTCTTCATAACAATAGGAACTTAGGGATAAGTTCATTGACAGCAGCAATGTTTGAACAAATCTATATTTTCACTGAAAACGTCATTGTTTCCACGGGAAAACCGATGTGGTTAGCATTAAACATTGCAGATGTATACTATCATTGCAAGGACTCTATAGCTTCTTGTATTTATCTTGTAAAGTTACTTCCTATGATGTGTTTTCCATGATTGTATTTTACGCCATTTTGCAGTTTCTCAGGACGTTATCCTCCTCCTGAAATAGCCTTAATCAAGTGGGGCGTAGTGCTTAAACCAATATATTTTGTTTATTGGTTAGCCGTAACTGTCAGAGGGAAACGGAACGAAGTCTGGGTTGGCGCTCAACTTTGATGGTGACCTCAGTGAAGGGTTTACATCTTAACATCTTTTCTAATCGATTCACTATGATGCAACAGTTTAAACTTTTGAGACAGTATTAAAACATGATAATTCACAATTGTAATCTATAACTTATCGTGCCTGTAAAAGTGGCATGCATTTCTTGTAAACACCAGTTTATACGAAATATAAATAATTACTTGTGAGCCACATCTCGTAAACCGTTAATGCCCAGCTCTTGCTACGCTGGGACTCACGCTGTTCCTCGAAGCTTCTCGGAAACGATAAAGTACGAACGGACGAGAAAACCAGAACCCAGTTTGGCGACTCGAGAATTATTTATTCTAACACCAACATATAGCCAATGTACAACTAAGCTTTAAAACTAAGGTCTATGAACAAATATTACAATAATAAATCACGATATTATTTCTGACGGTTGTCTCCTAACTTCTTTCTGAACAGCGACCGATGAGACGATGAATGTCGTATTGATGCTTCCGCGAAAATTGGGGAAGTTGGTTTTGAGCAAAGAACAATGAATTGATCGTTCAATCTTCAACTACATTGACATTACTATTAATGTTTGTGGGATAAAATTTAACTAAAAGGAGGACGATAGTTTTGGAAATCAGCCTTATATTACATCCTCCATGGAAATATAATTCTCCTCCTGGTTAAGCTTCAGTGCTCAGTGAACTGGATGCAATCTGTAGGATTCATGAATTTCACAAATTTGCGTACTGCCTTTTCAGGAAACCAGTCAATATTTTCTCAGTAAGGTGAGATTTGGGAATTGTGGTTGCGCAAACTCGATGGATTGTGAACTGTCGGCAATGAAAACTACAACAATCTATACAATTTTGAGTTATAATTTTAGCTTGTTTGCAACATCCAGGAGTTATTAAATGACGACTTGACGAGCACAAAATCTACACAGGAGGTGCATAATGTTTAGTAAAACATGTACTCTTTTGATCTCAATACGAAGTCTCCTTGCCACTTGTATTACTGTAAAAGTCTACACAGTTCACAGATAAACTCATAACAATGAAGTGGGAAAACTTGTATTCGTCATTATTGAACTTAATATGGGGAGTCTTGAGAAGTGATTCCTGTGTTATTAATTTTCTTATGCAGAAGATATGGCAAGGCATTCATAGTCCTTTACTTGATTCGTATTGCAGTGCAGCTCGATGTGCAACAGCATTCATACGAGCACATTAAAAAATGAAGTCTTCCATACTTTATGAACAACTTGCCCTCATTCCAAATAAGATAATAGGTTTCTTTCACGCATGAGCCTAAGTCGTGTTTATTGAATCGCAATCACAATTTAATCTTTTCTCCAAATAAAGGTCACATGAAGCAAATGTTCACAACAATGCTGCAAATTATGACCAAAGTGCTAATAGTTTTTGTCTTAAAATGAAGAGCTGACTGTTATGAGCAAATGAGAACCGAAATTAATGCTGAAACTGCTCTATGGATGCTAACAGCTACCACACTAATTAAGGCAATATTGTCTCAATAATTAGGGTGAATGTACCAGTATGATTACATGAAAATTCAAAAATATACGTTAGGATTTTAAACTTCCTACACTTTTTAATTCACCAGACTCTGTAGACATCAGTCTCCAGCGGCATTTCCTGATATAACTGCAGCAAATGGGACGTGATCCATGTAAATTATGCACAGATATTATGTACGTCGGAAAAGTTTTAATGTGCAGTATCGTTAAGAAGCATACAAAAAATAACTTGTTACTAAACCAACATAGGGACGGGCAATAACGCTACAATTAGCAAAAATATGCAATAAAGCTATTCCACTCCCTCGATTTGGGTCAGAAACCTGACGTTTGCCTCACGAGAAGCACCTCAGACAGATTGTGGCTAACTAAACAGGACAGCAGCGAATAGAAAAAAGTGGAGGTGTGTTGCTGGAGCCTCATATTCATTTCGGAATCTAAATGGATATTGACGAAAGCATTCTTTCCCGTTGTTTCATAGGCCTTCAAACTCGGACATTGCAATTTTGTAGGAGTGTGGCAGATTTAAACTTCTGTGGGACTCAAGGTCAAAATGAAGTCCCTCAATCCCTTTGATGATGAACCTTCTAGCTTATCTCCGTACGCAAAATCAGAAACCACAGAACGTTTTCCTGACTTCCGACGAAACATGGGAGAAACATCTGGAGCTCTTCAGGTAAACATAATCTTGAAGTTAGTTTGTTATAAAACATTTGTAATAGACGATTAATGCTCAGATACAAAAATTGGTGAAGTGACATCAGATTTTGTATCGAGTAGTTAGATAACAATGTACAAACTAATGATCTTTTTTGATACTGAATGTGAGAATGATTTAATAAACACAAAAAGGCGTAGACGGTCCCAGTAAACGATAAAGTGTGGCTATATTACTCCCACTAACCATCATGGTGTATGACAGTTGTTAGTTGCACCCGCGAAATTGCCTGCTTTCATACTTTGAAGGTGTATCACCATTCGTAATGTGATGGTTGACGAAAACCTATATGAAATTCCTTCGTTATGTGATGTAAACAGTCAAGTATCTGTCTGCCACAAATTAACTTACATTTGTTACACTTGGTGCTATTCAATAATCTTTTGGTATCAAGGCTTTGCCTAATTTATTAGACGATTGCATTCCGAACTAACCAGCTAGAGATGTGTGTCCGGGAAGCTTATTAATAGCTTAAAAATCATTTGACAAAGTGAAGATATGGATATTCGACCCTGGAAATTGTATATCCCGACTTACCTTACGGTGGTCCATAACCGACTTTAAGTTTACTAATACGGTACCGATTGCAGAAACCAGTTCACACAGGCGTTGTGCGACCGACCTCAAGCAGTCGTCTCCTGGGTTCTGCGGTGACGCAACACTAACCATCTTTATGTTTCAGTTACCTTAAAAATCAATCAACTTCCATAGTGTGAGCAGCCGGGAAGTAACAACCGCCCACACGCTTCCAAAAGCACACGAAGCCTTCCGGAGCATCATTCTCCCTTACATCATCATCTTACTCCCCTACTACAGTTAGTACTATTCCGCAGGCTAGCGAGTCATCTTCACTTCACTCTGTGACCACAAACAACGGTGAGAGCCATAGAAACACCCCAGACAGCCTCTTAAAAACACTTCATATAAGAGAATTCGTCAGGACCCTCTGCCAAATCGGACAACAGGCATCACTAGCTACAACTCTGACATCTCTAGCCATGGATGTATGTTGTGTTTCGGAGACACACATACAAGACCTGAGTGTGGTCATTCATTTAACCTCACCCGGTCAACAAGGTGAATCTGCGAAATTCACTTTAAGGGTGTCAGCAAACCCCTCAGCTAGTTCGCGAGGACTCACAGGGGTAGGGATAGCTTTGAGTGTTGGGGCAGAAAAATCACTTCTTGACTGGATCCCAGTAGATAGTCGTATGTGCGCAGTCCGTCTGAACGGTCCCGTTAGAAGAAGGAAGGATGGTGCTACCCGTCGTTGTCTTTTCGTAGTCTTGCTTACGCCACAACAGACTTCAGTTCGGATGAAGTAAAGGATGACTCCTACCTGAAACTGTCTAATCTGCAGCAAAAAGCAAAATGTCCGGATATAGTTGTTTTAGCAGGCGACTTCAATGCCCAAGTGGGGAAGTTGTACCAGACTGAGAAGAATGTAGGTGGTACCTATAGAGTTTCCTACCGACAACGGTGATCGTCTTCTACAGTTTTGCTCAGATAATCATCTGTTCCTAGTCAGCACTAACTTTAGGCACAAAGAGAAACATTATGTAACCTGGCGACATCCATCGCTAAACCAACGCTGGACTCAGATAGACTACATAGCCATAGGGTGTCGTTGGCGAGGGTCAGTAGATGACTGTCGCTCCTTCTGGAACACGTGAGTAGACTCTGATCACGCTCTGGTTCGCGCACGTTTATGCTTACGACTAAACGGAGATAAGAAATTGACGGCAGCGAAACGGTTACGTCCCCAACTAGATCGAGACACTGAGTCCCTATTTAAGAAAGAAATAGCGAAACGAGTGTCTGAGGTCGACAGCAGGACTTCCCCTGAGATAGCCTGGCACATCATAAAGTTAGCTGTAGACAGAGCTGTAAAAGCTGTTAATAAGCTAAAACCAAAAGTTAGTAAAAGCCATTGGATCTCTATCGCCTCATCCGAACTGATTGGCGCAAGAGTACTGATTCCGGCGAGCTCCAATTATGTCTGTCTGTCTGTTTTCGACATAGAACTTTGCACAAATGTGCGGAAGTTCAAGTCGCCACATTCCGTGTAGCACGCGAAGCAAGAGAAGAAAGTACAAGAAAAGCATAATAGAAACAGTGAGCAGAGGTGTGAGACAAAGGAGTAATAAAGAAAAACAAAACAGTTTCATTGGAGATCATAAGTCACAAGGAGTGGATGCATCTGCGCCACTGAGAACGATTTTGAGCCATGTCACCAATTGTTTCCAACCATAGATTTTTACCGTCCCGAGGACCCCAGCCTGGAAGTCTACACCTTCCTACGTGGCTTAGACCAACTGTTGTGGATTTCATTGACTGGTGCCAAGTTTTTGTTTGACCGCCGCTAGCTTTTTTCCAGCCTGACCCTATATCCGCTAACATAGCTCGTCGAGGGAGGCGATGGCTTGGCATACGTAACACATGTCCTAACCATCTCAGTCTTTGTAGCTTCACGACTTCGTCGATTGATTTCCCCTGTTTACCTAGAACTCTACGCCTAACCTCAATGTTGCTCACCTTATTATGCCACTTTACACGGGAAATAGAGCGCAGGCACCTATGATCAAAGACAGCTAGTCTTTTCATGTCTTCCACTCTCAGTGGCCAGGTCTCACAACCATAAAGGAGGACGGAGCGGACTGATGAGCAGTACACCCGCCCTTTGGTCGATAGTCGAACATCTCGTCTACGCCAGAGTCGGCGTAAACTGGCAAATGCGAAACGAGCCCCCTGTATTCGTGCTGAGATTTCGTCAGAGATCAGCCCGTTGGCACTGGCTGATGGTACTTCCCAAATAAGTGAAGCGGTCAACGTGCTCTACCACTTCACTTCCTATTTTTAAACTAGGCGTCGATGTAGTCCAGTCCTGTAACATCATCTTGCATTTGGCGGGAGCGAATCGCATGCCAAACATTCGTAGATTGCGGCTCAAGGTGTTTAGAAGACTCTGCATTTCGTCAGCGTCTTCGCCTAGAAGGACTATATCGTCTGCATATTCCAAGTCAACGAGATTATTCCCCGGTAGCAAGTCAATCCCTGAGTCTCTGAAGTCACCTAGGGTTAAGTCCATTAACACATCTATGATGAAGTTGAATAGAAAAGGGGATAATGGGCATCCTTGACGGACACCACTAGTCGTCACCAGTTCAGATGACAGCTCGCCGTAAGCCCTCACCTGGCTGTATGAGTACGAGTAGTGTGCCTTAATCAGTGCAATATATTTTCTTGGAATTCCCTTTACAGCCAAGCATCTCCAGAGAACTTCTTGGTCGACAGAGTCGAATGCTGCCTTTAGGTCAAGAAATATAATGACTGTTGGACGCCGGTAGGAATGCCTATGTTCTAGAATCTGTCGGAGGGTGAAGATATGATCAATACACCCTCTTCCTGGTCTAAAGCCTGCCTGGCTCTCTCGTGTTTGTGCCTCCCGAGCACCACTTAGTCTACGCATAATTATTGAGCCTAAGACTTTAGATACTATATTAGTCAAGCTAATCCATCTGTGATTATCACAGGAAGACTTGTCTCCCTTCTTGTATATCGGGATAATCAGTGACTTACACCAACCCGATGGGACTTCTTCTGATTTCCAGACGCTTCCTAGTACTTCAGCTAGTGCAGACAGTAAGCTGTCTCCACCGTACTTAAATACCTCTGGAGTCATTTTATTTTATTTATTTTATTTTATTTTTGATTTACAGCTTGATTCCACACCGTATTTTTGGTACAGTATGGAATTTTCAGCATGGATATCGGTAGCCCAAATTTTGCAGGCCGACCATAGATATCAGGTGTGCGCCGGCGTGGGCTCGAACCCCGGACCATGTGCATGGTCGGCGAGAGTCCTAACCACTGTGCCACCGACGCACAGGTCCCTCTGCTTTGCCTAGTTTCAGATTGGTGACAGCTTTAGTAACCTCAGTTAGTGACGGAGGACCTGTGTCTATATCCCATTCAGGGAGGTGTTGGATGCTCGGAAGGTTGAGCGTGGCTGTGGGCCAATTAAACTGCTCCTCATAATGCTCTTTCCAACGATCCAGTCGTCTATCCTGGGAGCTAATTATAGTGCCATTTTTTTCCGAGATTGTCTCACTGATGATTTGTCTTCTCCCACCCGTTTCCCTGATGAGTCTAAAGAGTTGCCTGGTGTTGCCTATCCTCGAAGCTTTCTCCATCTCTTTGGCTTTTGTCGGCCACCACTGTTCACGGTCCTTGCGGAGACTTTTCGTAAGTTTCCTCTTGTGCAGCTTTCGCTCCTCATTGAATTCGGAGCTCGCCGGAATAAGTCTTCTAGCATCTATCAGTTCGGATGAGGCGGTGGAGATCCAGTGGTTTTTACTCACCTTTGGGTTTACCTTATTCACAGCTTTTACAGCTGTATCTATGGCTGCCTGGATATTTTTCCAAGCTTCTTCAGGGTGAGCACAGCTGTCGAACACAGATATGTGTTTAGCTAGTTCTTCCTCAAATACGGATTTAGTTTCCTGATCGAGCTGGGGACGTGATGGTTTTACCGCCAGCTGTTTCCTACGTCCGTTCAGTCGTAAGCACACCCGAGCGCGGACCAGTGCATGGTCGGTATCTACACACGTGTTCCAGAAGGAGCGACAATCTCCTACCGACCCACGCCAACGATAGCTTATTGCTATGTGGTCTATTTGTGTCCAGCGTTGGTTTGATGAAGGGGGTCTCCAAGTCAAACAGTGTCTCTCCTTGTGTTTGAAGTTAGTGCTTACAAGAAACAAATGATTATCAGAGCAGAACTGTAGGAGACGGTCACCGTTGTCGGTTCGCTGGCACGGAACTCCATAGGTGCCACCGACATCCTTCTCAGATTGACACAATTTCCCTACTTGAGCGTTAAAGTCACCAGCTAGAACGACTATGTCTGAGCGTTTAGCCTTTCGCACCAAACTAGACAGCTTTTGGTAGAACTCATCCTTCGTTTCATCTGAACTGCAGTCAGTGGGGGCGTAGGCGGAGATTACGAAAAGGCATCGGCGAGTAGTGCAGTCCTTCCTCCTTTTTACTGATCCGTTCAGGCGGACAGCACACATTCGGCTATCTACCGGGATCCAGTCAAGCAATGTCTTTTCTGCCCTAGTACTCAAAGCTATCCCTACGCCAGCTAATCCTCGTGAACTAGCTGTGGCATCTCCTGACACCCTCAAGGTGAATTTTGCAGATTCAACCTGTTGGCCAGGTGGGGTTAGGTGAATAACCACACTTGGGTCTTGTATGCGTGTTTCTGAAACACAGCATACATCAATGGCTCGTGATGCCAGGGTCTTGGCTAGTGATGCTTGTTGTCCTATTTGGCAAAGTGTCCTAACATTAAAAGCTCCTATATGAAATTGGTGGCGCGGCTTTAAGAGGCTGTCGGTGGTGGTTTTTTGGCTTCCATCGTTTTTAGTGGACGCAGAGTGGAGAGGAAGTGGAGAGCTATCAAGTCGAGGAGTTGCATCAGTGGAAGGAAGGCAAGATGATAGAGATGAAGATGAAAACAAAGATGAGTGAGTAGTAGAGAGGTTTCGCGTGCGTTTCGGATTGTGAGGGTGATTGTTACTTCCCGGTTGCCCACACCGTGGAAGCTCCGATTATGATGAGCGAAAGCTACTCAAACGAAAACTATTTCATCTTTTCTTTCCCTGGGTTATGCATTTATGTGTTATATCCTTGTCCTGTTGCTATCCTGGGATAAATTCCTGTAGTGGATATTTTTGAAAATTTCAGCTGTAATTTATATTCAGCACTTCTTGGATATCTCACATAAATTACATCAATCGGAGAATTACTGAAGTGTTCTGATATTTTCGAAAAAATCCAGCTTTTCGACATTTATAAGTATTGAAAGTTATTGAGTGTTTTCAACAGTGAATTGGTATGAGCTGAAATGCGAAAGCAAAGGAGTTGGAAATTTGCTGAAGAAAGTTACCAAAAGAAGTATGTAGACGATTGAACAAGGTATTTAACAATATGTAATCATAATTTAGTTACCTGCATCTGAATTTACACATATCCGGCTATATGCTACACTTATTTTGTGCTGTTAGTGAAACTAACCTTGTACTTAAGCTGAAGTAGGTGATGTGGATCTTAAACCCAGAACTCCATATTGGGAGTTACGTACTGAAGTCGAGTTGTTGATGAGTACGAAAATCCGTGGAAACAAAACTTGTATTTACTCGATATGCAACCATCTTCTGAAGAATAACTGCCGCTACGCCTTTTTCTTCCGTAACAGTCTTATTGTGATACCGCACGCTTTTTTATAATGCAGTCACCGTAGCTTTGTTAGTTTATTCACTTAAAGGCATGCAACATTTTTGTAGTGCCTGTGCCGTTTCATAAATCTGTAACTGGCGGATTAACCAAATGTTGATATTTTGCCGATATTCACGTTAAATTTCCATTAAGCACCTAAACGTTTTATTTGCTTAGTGTCAAATATCAGACAGTCAGTCACGAACGAAAGCAAGTCAACAGCGGGCACTGGCCAGTATTTATAATTCTGAACAAATTGGTGTTTCGGCAGCTCATGAGCTTGTTGAACAGGGCGAGAAATTAAGTCGCGCAGAGCAAAAACTCGAGGAAATTAGTGAATTACAGAAAGATAGTCAAAAGAAAATTAACACATTGTCAAGTGTTTTTGGCGGATTTAGAAATATTTTTTCACGCAGGTGGGTAGACATTTCTGTATGTAAAGTGCTTTATGCTTCCAAGAATTCAGCGTTCTTCTTATAGCAATACTGAGTTTGTTACATCTGTTTATTCTTCACTACTGCTCAATTTTTATAAAAGAAAATGCATCTAACGGATCTGAAGTCTTCCATTAATTGTGTTAAGTGGGAGAACTCATTTGAGTGTTTATGAGTATTTTTGAAGTAATCCCAAAGATTAAAAAAATATTTAACGAAATTGATACATTTCTCCAGCAAGTAATCAAGATTCTGGATGATTTAGCGAAGGAATTCAAGTTCCAAATATTATTGCTCTAATGTTAGTCTTGTGTGCTAAATGGGATTTATAAAAGTCACCTAACAAACATGGATTTTTGATGGGGTCCAGATTTGTGAAATATCAGCCAGGCGGAAGGTTGCTATTCGGAATCAGAATGAGATGTGATGTGATGAAATTTATCACAAACAACTGTGGACAATAGTATTGTAATCAGGGAAAGCAAGAGGAAATACTGCATTTGGACCAAGCTTTATCGTCTGGGTGAATCATTACAAGAATTAAGTCGTTTTGGTGGTATTCTGTTTCTTACTTTCTCTTTATTAATCGCAAGTATATATTTTTTTGATTTGATGTTTTTGATTTTTGATTTACAGCTTGATTCCACACTGTATTTTTGGTACAAGTATGGAATTTTCAGCATGGATATCGGTAGCCCAAATTTTGCAGGCCGACCATAGATATCAGGTGTGCACCGGCGTGGGCTCGAACCCCGGACCATGTGCATGGTCGGCGAGAGTCCTAACCACCGTGCCACCGACGCACAGGTATGCGTCTACTCTGGGTTTAGCAAGAATCTCCTAGTGATTTGTGTGAAGTAAAGAAATGGTTAAGTAATTCGGGTGTCACGTTATCAAAAACCCACTCATATATTATAACTCCGTTATATTTATTATCTTCAACAGAATAAAAGTAATACAAATCAGCAACCTTGTATAGGTTTTTACAACAGATTGCGAAGCACACCTATTTCGTATTGTGTGATGACAATTGATGGCTATGCCTTGATATGATATATGCTATGATATCGGCAAAACTAGTAAACCAGAGGTTGGAGACTGAGTACTTACTTAGTGGAGGAGATATTTAGATTACGATTGTTGCTTTTAGGAAGGTAATTCTCACTACGTGCTTAGATATCATATTTATCATTTATCACGTTTGTCTAGTTTGGTCCTTAACTATTATGTTTCTTAATGATTGTAAGCACAAGCTGTTTATTTGGATTTTTATGCCATTTCATTTTCTCTTTAAGGGTTGGATTTAACTGAAAGTAGTAATTTATGTGCTGACACTTAAAAAGAACCCATCAGACTCTATGACTTCGGTCGCTCTGTTCGTCAGAAACAGAGTATTTCATACATTTTCTCCCCTTTAATGAATTTGAACAAGCAAGAACTACAGTTTTAGCAAAATAATGTGGTACCATCATTTATTTCGTTGGCTTCTCATCATCTGCTTACAGCCTAAATAAATTATGAGGTTTAAGTACAGACATGTTTTAACATACTTGCAAATTTTACATATTGTCAGTTGACAGAAAATTCCACAATTAGTAAACAGTGCTCAGAAGATTGCGCTTATATAGTTTTCACACAGGCAGTTCAAGTTAGAACAAAATAAATGTATGCAGAAAATGGTAAAGGAGTTACGTGATAAGGATGAGATGTGTGTTAGATGCATAGTGACTAGTAAGTTAGGTAACTATGTACTGAGTTGAGCTCAAATCAAAGAAACAAGAGACAAGCAAAATTACAGATTATAAAAGGGAGGGTGAGGTTAAATACGAAGATTACGTAATCAGATGAGAGAAAAAAGGCATCCAGTTACCAAGGCAAGGAAAGACTAATAACTACTTCTTTCTGAACACATAGATCTGGTTTCAAGCGTTTGATAGAAATTGCTTCAGCAAACTTAAGGAGAATTGAGCTCTTTTGCCTATTGATAATTTTGGACGACTTTTCGACGTCCACCTCATGACCCGTGTCGAGGAGATGCCTGACGATGGCACTGTCTAAAGCATTTGTTCCCTTTAGACGTAAGCTTTTTGGTACGTGTTCAGAAAATCGTAGATATGCCCTTGTTTCTGTTCTTCCAATGTAACTGCTCCCGCAGACACACGTAAATTTGTATATACAGTTGGAGGTAACATGAGAAGGATATCTATCGATTTTTGATTGCACCAAAGAGCAAGTTGTTCGATAGACGGAAACGAGCTTGGCTGCAGGATAGGCTATGGCTAGTGATGTACTCAGCCTTCTGTTGATCATCGCTGCAATGTTTTCACCTTTATAGTCAAGCTGAACGTAGACTGGCTTTTTTTCCACTGTGATTTGTTTTACATTTGTGACTTCAGATCTCCCATACTTCTTGATGAACTTTTGAGGATAACAGAGTAATCATAGTTTATTGCAATATCAACAAATTACAAGAAGTTAGAATTTTTCTTTATAATTATACACATATATATTTATATATACAGTGGACTTCATTACTTTCGAACCTTTCTAGGAAAACACTTTTCATGTATTCGGTTGTCTCAGTAGATTTATTGCGTATTCGTAACAGTTGTTTTTTTGCTATTATAGTTTTCTCAGAATGTAAGCATGAAACTTGGGCACTGTGGTAGAGTATAACTCCATTATGGATAAGATTTTATTTTCATAAATCACACAGTGTTGTACAGTTATATTAACTGATGACGTTTCGAGCACAAACTATTGCTCATAATCGTATCAAGTTACTCACACAACTTATTTCCTTCATTTATATGCATGTGTGGAATCGATTAGATATTGGATTAAAAATCAATGTGAGATAATGTACATTCAGAAATAATAATAATGGAGTTTTCTCAGAATACTGATATCTGAAAAACGTAGACTGTAATGCTGCATATTGTATCAGTGAAGCTTTTATGTGATTAAGTTCATTGGTAGTTTTTCACTAAGTGAATGGAAAAAAGGAGCGGTCAGTTAATTGTGCTATTCATCTTATTTTGTGATTCTAGATAACATAACATTTGGTGGTTGTATTGAGTTATAATTCTACAAGCTGACAACTTACAGACTATACTTCATGCAAACACATAAGACCTTAGCAGCTGTGTTTTGTACATTATTCCCTGTTAGAAACGACGAAACAAATATTTGTGGATCGTTTATTGAGAAAAAGACTTGACACAGAAGAGGAATAAATATGCCTGTAAAGTAGAAAAATTTACCATTTTCGAATCTTGTTACCACTCTCTGATTATTGAATTGAAAGAAGGCCATTAGTGGCACTTTAATAACCTTCGATCTCATGTTATCAGTTGTCTTCACTGTTTTCTCAACAGTAAACGATGTGATACCAGGTTTCTTCAGAATGGGTGTTGCTTGCAGTTAAATTAATGTTCATTTAACACCTCCTTACTTAGAGACCCAAAGAGTTAATCGAAAAGCTGGGCACATGGGTGTCCCCACTGCCTTGTATTTTCACTTAAATCATAATATCACTTCTTTTGCTTGTTTTATGACCTTACAACTCCTAGTAATATCGTTTTATCTTTGTCCTTCTTGTTAAGTTTCAACCTCATGTCCTAGTGCTTAAACTTTACAATTTTGAGTGTCCAATTTTGATAATAACCTGTTCGTCTGTTCCATTTTGACGAAGTTCTCTCAGTATGCTACATTTTTAAGATTACACTATGATAAGTGTAGTATAACTGAAAAATAAAAAGTTATCCTCCACGATTGCGTTTCCGATTTTTTTTAAATTTTGTTTTGCAATGAATTAATAAACTTCATAACCATGTGCACGTTTAAATACTGAATAGAAGTCTTTAATTATTGTTTTAGAACTGTGAAGCGACTCAATCGCATAAACTGAGTAGTTGCGGTGGGTATAAAATGGGTGATTTATTACCTAAAAGTCGAGTATCTAACTCACTGAACAATAACCATATTTTCTTCACCAAAATTATCTTCAAACTTTTAAAGAGAATAAGTATGATTGTCGACCGTATCTTTTTTTTAATGTTCACAAACTTAAGTAGTGTATTTACAGAATCGAAATTCTTATCCAATTACTAATTAGTTGATATTATAGATCTGCAAGCTAACGAGTTGTGGCACATCCACATCTGTAATTCATAATGATGTGCGAATAACTAGAAAGGGAAAGCTGCGGGAATTAATACAATAAGATACTTAGAAAAGAGAGATTCAAGAAAGATTCAATCTTTCTCTTTTCTAAATGTCTAAATGGGGATATTTTCTATACTATAATAAGATACAACAGCTGTCGTAGTCTGTTAATCTCAGCTTCCTGTGGGTGTCCACATATTTCGTTTCCGAAATGTCAAAAATAACTAGAAATCTGTTGCACTGATTTAAATTCGATAAATTTGAAAATAAATTATCACTTCACCTAGGTTCGACGTGTTTCTCTTTTTTTCATCCCTTTGCGTTCCAAATGGAACATAGGGCTTGTAGTTTGAGCTTTGAAGTTTCAGTGGCGGTGATGTCTTTCATAGGGAGGGGTTGCTAGCCTCACGCCCAAACTTCTCCCTGTATCGGGTTTACTACCGGCTAAGTAAGGTTTACGAGAGTGCATCTGCAGGGAATCTAACCCTTACCCTGTGCTCGGTTGGCGATCATTTTGCTACTGAATAACCAACGCACTTTCTTCCTCTACAATTCCTATTCATCCCACATTTTCTAATGTTTCTCTGCACGCTGTTTTGGGGTGTCATAACTCATATTTTTGCATTGCTGAAGAGCAACTGATAATACTAAAATTACTTTTATTCGAAATACTGATGCGTTAGCAACACCAGCTTACCGTAAGTTCTCCTGTCAAGCGTATAATTTTTTTGCTGACTATTTTTCTAAATCACAATTTATCATCCTATTGTTTCATATGTACCTGAATCGCTAGGACTACTTTGGATGTTCTTGACGTGCAGGTTTCAGTTAACGTTAATGTTATTTGTCGTTGATACTTCACTATTTGTAAATTTTTCAATACTTGAAGATATCTTTATTTTCGTTTATTTCGTTGGTTGAAATACAGAAAATATCGGGACTTAGTTTAGACTTTTTAAAAAACCTTTACTCCTAAAAATTCATTAAAATGTTTCCTGAGTAGTGGGATGAAAATATATGTACAAAAATAACTTATTTTGTTATGAACTGCTAATTCATTGTAATGTCCATGGTTTTCGGCTTTTGTTAGGCAGTCACAGCCTGTTACTCAAGGACCATCTGCTTCAGTGGACAAGATGATAGATAATAAGAATCCCGGTAATCTGAGACAATCCATTCAGTGTGGTTCCTCATGGGGTGACCAGTACACAAGTACATTGCAGAAAACTGTAATGGTGAGTACATTTGTTTTTATGCAAATATGAAGCTGAATTTATGTAAAATTGAAATGTAGAATGTTATTTAGCAGTACAAATGCCATTCGCTGATTTACATTATTCATTAGATTCCAACCACAGAGGTGTGTGCAGTATATGGCGAACAAACTCTTTTCAGCGAATTTATTATCAAGTTGTACAACCGTTTTTCATTTTTCAATACCCTAATGTTGTTTAAGTTATATTCAGATTGCTTTGTTTTGAAAATTCTCTCTATTCATATGTACCATTAGGTTTCTACAACAATTCTTTGATGCTTATGTTTCGCTTCTGCAACAGATACTGCCATCATTATGTGAACGCAGTGATTTTCACCTTGAATGAAGTCTAATTTGTACATTTCAATCAGGAAATTTCAGAAAGTTATCCCGGATGACACTCGATTCAATCGAACACCAAGTGTTGGGAAGAGAGGGTAGAGAAAGTTTTTATCTAGTTTTTATACTGTATTTCATGTAACCGATTAAGAGCCACGGTAATATGCTGAAAGGGCTTGTACAAGCGTTCCTGTAAGTCTTAACTTGCCAGAAAGATCGTTTGGATGGAATAAAGCAATTACCATCATAATTTAAGTTGTTTACACTGTGTTAGGGGTCTTAAGATGAACTCATATTTCTGGCAGATAGGAGTTTAATGGTAGGAAACTGATACTCTGTGATGATGAGCAGGGCATCTACATTGCCTCCCCACTCTAGAGGAGGAAAGACTTGAAAAGGTCGACCCGAAACGCTGTACATCTTGGTTTGGCAGATAGCGATCCATAGCCTGCGATAAGCTCTTCGTAAGAACAAAACTCCGAAAAATAGTCCAAACAGACCTTCTTTGATTGGCTTGAATTCGGTGGTTTGTGAATAAAATTGAGTGCTAAAGCAGGCAATTCACTGTTCAATTTAATTGAACAGTTGTATGTGCTGTCCGGTTGAATAGACCTGAGGAATAAGTAAAGTTTGTGAAATTCATTGATGCTCTTTCGAAATCTCCACTTATAAATCAACTTAATGCAGTTTAAATAAAGAAAAGGATACATCATTTCAGCAGCTATCAACTAGATAAGTTGGCGGCTGAAAGCACACCACAGATGAAGCTGGTGATTTTAATGCCGAAATGGGGAAGCTAAACCGTTTCTGATATGTATCCACATATATATATTTATGTGTGTGTGTGCATGTTGGTCTCTCTTTCTGTTTGCTCGGTTAGTCTGTGACCACTTCACTTGTATGGACTTGTCTCCTTTAATAATGTGTATTCTCCTTATATTATATTATATATAATATGAGTGTTTGTTGACAGTCCGTTGCTTGGTGACATATATCCATATATGTTTGTTGGCATGTCTGCTATATTCGCTATGTATAATTGGATCGACACTCCATTATAATTAGCCATTCATGTTAAGACTGTCTAATGATTTTCCCACGCTTGTCTGAATTATTTATATATATATTTGCATTTCAATCTGTGTGAACTACTTTACTTTACAACTACTTGACTTGCTTACCACTTTGGTATGAGACCATTTTATTTTCGTCTCCTTGTGTTTGGACAATAGAAGTATCATCGCAAACCTAGTGGTCTTCTGATTTCCGCCTTCTCGCGTCAGGACTATTAGTTTCTCGACCAGTCCATAACAATAATTTAGCGACGAGTACATAGCAGTTTCAGAAGAAGAAAGTATATTGGGGGTATTTATGGAATTCTCTGCTGGCAAACTGATGTTCACGATCATCCTTTACATTTCTGCTTAGATAATTACCTGTTCTCCTAACAGAAGGAGAGACACTGTTTCATCTGACGACTGAGGACATTAAGCTAACAATTGACACAAGTAAATCACCTAAATGAATGTTTTCTATGGAGTGTTGGTGAGACATTTCATCTGCTTTGACTGCGATCACGTTTCAACCTGTACACAACAACAAAATAGACATAGAAAACAAACGTCTACGGAGTCCTCACGCTTTCGGCTGTTTAGTGAGGAAATAAAGTCTGTCTGTCAACAAGAAGATAACTAAGCGAGTGCGTAAACACTGCTCTTAGGTAAACTTGTCATCACATACAATTATAAAAACTTGTGGTGATTGACTTGGCTTATGAGAAGGATGTAAGTTTATTAAATTCTCATTATAAAGTCGCAGAACGTTAGAAAAATTTTGAGCCGCAATTCAACATGTCTTCAGCCATCTTGTATCCAACCCCAACTTGAACGAGACGCAGACACCCATCCTACAAATGCGTCTGACTTTGATCTTTTGTCTTGGCCGCGTAGACACTTGTAAACTCTCCGACCTTGGTTTTCGGGATGCCAAGAGCCAATGCTTGAAGATTATATTCACTTCTTATCATCTTTCAGATTCTGAGAATGTTCGCATTTCTCGTTGCCGTATTCAGTTGGAGTGAAGTTAAAGACGCAAAAAACAATAATACTTGTGTATAGGCTCAAACGGGATCGAACCCCGGACCATGTACATCGTCGGCGAGAGTCCTAACCACTGTGCCACCGACGTACATATATATATATATATATATAAACTCCTGCTAGCATCAGTGTATGAATTATCACTTGGAAGGGTGCCTGCAGTCTTGGTCGGTGTTGCAATTGGGCTATAGCGTTATTACATTCTTCTCGAAACACCCGCATAATCTGAATTATTCCTGAGATCTAGTTTAAAGTTTTTATTTGACGCTTCTTCAGTTAATAACACAGTTTGTTCTGAAAACAATTCATTTCCCTTTACTGTTGCTTTCTGTTAAAATAGAAAACCAATGATGCTCCAAAATCTTCAGACATTGAATTCGAAAATAATTTATCTTTAATGAGTGATGGCATGTCTCGCTTGAAGAGTCTTGCTCAAGGTATGAATGATGAATTAAAAATTCAAAATGAACAACTTGATCGTATGGCGCCCAAAATTCACCGAGTAACAGATACTATGTCAAATCAAAATCGTCAAATGAATAAATTATTAGGAATTCGACCGAAATAAATTGTTCACATTTTGATTTCATTCACTTTTTATCCTTCCACATGTATGTCTTTTCTATGGAACATTTAAAATAAGACAGAAATGTGAATGGATTAGTCTTTCTCTTATGTTTTTTCCTTATTTTTATTCCAATACTTCTAATATATTATTTTTATTGTCAAAGATTTCTTACTGTGTACACACAATCGATGATCTTATGATTGACTAGTGTTTGATTTTTTTTTAACGCTCTGATCTCAGAAAAATCTCAGAATATTCTTCTCATTTTAATATTGACTAACTTTAGACATATGGGTCAGAGATATTCATTTTGTTGTTGGTTAATATCAAAGCAATAATATAAACATCTTAAGACGCAAGTTAACTGCTGAATTACACCATGAAATACAATTGGTGAAAAATAACTCACATAGCGATAGGTTTGCATACATTATACATACATCTTTCCAAAGGTGTGACTGACCCCTCAATCACATGTAATGAATTAAACTCTGGTTTGTCTCCAAGTTTGTTAAATATTTGTGGTGGAAGTACATCAAGTTGCGCACCAGTATTGAAACATAACTAACTTTAAAAAAAATGAAAACCACCACTTTTGATAGACGGATATTACTTTTTATTTGTTAGTGAATTTTAGCGGAGTAGTGTCCTTAGTTTTAACTGACATTGGTAAACTCCCTGCAACTTTGTAATTCCCAGATACAGGTGCTGTGACATCATTTCCCTAACCCACATTATTTGCCGCGGAGTGGTGGTTAACGAAAGCGTTTTTGTCATTTGTGGGAGAGTTGAGCGATCTGATGAGTCGCACTCCACAGAGTTTGGACAAGTCACCAATTTTGTTTTGAATTGTTGACTTGGACTGAAGAGTCATCTTTAAAGATCACCTAAAGAGTCTAAAGCACAGTTTTGCTAAGTGAATAATTAGATCTAAATAGCCGTTGCACAGTGCCACCTCAAACCTTCTTTAGGTCGGTCGAATTTCACATGTATGAGAAAATACCCGCTGCCCAACTAAATCCCTTATTCAGTGCTAAGGGAAAATTTATCCTTACATTGGCAATTCGTCGGATTGTTTTCCCACAGCGCTGCTATCTTGGGTTGTATAAATCTCCACCTTTCAGTTTAACATCATGAACTTGTTGTGCTTCTTCAATTCCTGATACTGTGCATATGTCTACTAGTGATTATAAATGAAGGTCAATATCACCTATTGTGGAAATCTGCTTTGGTAATACAGAAACAACACTTCTATGTGGTCAGAATAGTAGGCATTGAGTTGAACGAGTTCTCGCCAACTTACTGCGAATAAATTTTGGCATATTACGCCACATTTTAGGCGGTGACACTCACAACAACAGTGGTCATAATGCATGTACGACGAGTAATTATGAGATTTCTAAACGAGTACAAAAAGATATGGTTCACCACTCTGGGATTTGATGTAGAAGTTGAGTTGATTTGGAGCGATTGTCTGCGTTTTGATCATGCTTAAGTGTGTGCCAGGTTTCTTTTCCGATTTAATGGTGATTAAAGTTATTTTATTATTATTCATTCTTTGGGTTATTGATTGAAAATGGGTTTTTCGAGGCACATATATATTCAGTCGTTTTGCATTCGTCTTACTCTCCTTTGTTGCTCCCTCTTAATCTTTTCTGGGTTACTTGAGGGAAGGGCACTAAAAGATATCAGTAGGATGGAAAGGGTGCCTTCAAACCAATTCTTTAAAACTGTTGTGGACAGACTTGAACTCATGCAAGAAATTGGTGAATATCATCTTGTCGAACTCTGAGCGTCCTTTTTATACAAAACTCTCCTCTTGCTTCTCATCAGGTAGGACTCAGAGCAATTATAACTGACATTATGCTCGGGCGACTAAGTATGAGAACTCAACGATACCTTATTTAGCACTCATTTCATGTGATAGGAAAAGTGTTAGTCATCAAACTAACTTACCACGAGACAGTAAGTAAACAGCTCTTTTTTTCTTCCAATCATCAATATATTGTCGGTATTTCTATTAACTTTTAATCTTCCATTCATATTCTTTATTGACATTATTATCAATGTAAGTTGACTGTACTATGTATATGTAAAGAGGAAATTAGACATGATATGGTGCTATATGTTAAACATTCCACATTATTTGAAGAAAGAAAGAACGAACATATTTGCGGGATAATACGAGCTCGTTTTTTTTTCACAGGTTCTCTCTCCTAAATAAATCAGTTATATGTTCCTTTTCTCTTTATTCAAAATAATAGAGGGAATTGGCTGTGTGAAATTCCACATTGTATCAAACTTACTGTTTGAAATAAAGCTGTTATTATTATTTTCACTATTGTTAGATACGGATCTCTGCTATCAAATTCAATTGACTTTATGACTGCCCACAAGTTCTCATTTCCTTTTCTCATTATCTTCAATATGTCATTCTTGGATTCCAAGCTCGTTATTTCTCATTACCGGTGCACTTGACAGCTCTAAATTTGAAGTTACTTCGATATGTCCTTAGCGTATGTTTATTCCATCTCCATTTCCCTATGCGTATTTTTTGGGCAAATTTCGTCTTCAGATACGTTCCAATCCACACCAGTAATGAACTCTTGATCACCATTTCGGAGCCGCTCCGAAGGATAATTCCATGTGACACTTTACCTAGTTCTAGAACCGATACGTGTCCAATCTACCTCCATTCCCTTCGTCACATTTATAGAATAACAGAGTCTCGGCTGGTTCACTGTCTGACAGGGTTCCTTGTGGCTTATTCTTGCTGGATGGATGCCAGGTAGTCTGATACTCAGTATCGCTCAAAGAAAGCTGCTGATAAGAGTCCGCTTGAAGGCCTGTTAGAAATGTTTATGTTGACAAGCTCTCCAATTCTCTGAACCATATTGAAGCTCTGACTTGACATTAGTATTGAAAATTCGGAACTTGTTCATTTTGCTGAATGATGGGAATCTCCAAACTGATTTCGGAATAATGAAGTCCAGTATTGCTTATCCGATACGATCCTGGCTCGCTAAGAAATCCTCATTCATGGGTATAGTTGATATGATACTGCAGAGTTCAGGTGAGTGAAGTGTCACGACTTCCTCTAAGTCCCTTCTGTCCATGGTGACTGGAGCATGTGACTTTTGTTGATTCGGTATTGTCATCACCTTTGTCTTGTCTTTGTACACGTGAGGTCCTGATTCCTCTACTTCATTCTCCAACTGCCTGGTTTTCGCTTGTGAACTTTCAGGCCTGTGCAACACAGATCATCTGCGAGGTAAGGATATTCTAGGTTTCTTCATCAGTCCAATGTATTCCCTAATTCTAAAGCCCACTGATCTCGGGCATGATCCAGTCTACCAAAATTAGGAAGGACATTGGTGATTGCGAACAGCTTTATATTACTCTTTTCCTGATAGCCTCAAAATTCATGCTGATACTCGGTGACTCTAAATGTTGCCTGGGCTGGCGTATACTGCTTTGGTTTTCATTATATGATTAGAAATTTCATTTGTCACACCCGTGCCAGCAATCGCACAATTTATCAGATGCTCATAATGGATCACCTGCAAAAACGTATATGAGTACAGACACCTATCAATCTGACAAGTTTACTGCGTACTTAAGCGAAGCAACTCACACACAACCATTAAGTGCTACCTTTTGACCTGTATGCTATTACAAGAATAGATGATATTATGAGCAAGCTCAGGGTCAAACTTTCCTTCGCCATCACCACGTTCATCCTACAGAGCAGTCTTTAGAATGTCATCGATGACAAAGTTAAAGAGAAATGGTTAGATTCGGGAATCATAAGCATTGTTGATTTAGAACCGTGATGCTAGCGAATTATATTCTCTCACTCTGTCTCTCTGAGGTATTTTTGCATAAAGCCTTCAATATATTTGTAAAGCTTTCAGCTGTAACCTTCAGAAATTAAATTATACTTAGCCTAATGTTCGTTTTACAGTACTCTGACACCCAACGAGGAGATAAGCCGAGTTAAGTACATCAACAAAAATTGACTTACTGTTTCCGAATCACATACATACGCGTTTAAAGAAGCATATCGAAAATAACAAGGCTAGAATTACGGAAGTAATCAAGAACACACTGCAAACATAATCAGCAAGTGTCCTCCAAACATGCGTCTTAAAATGAAATTCAAATACTTTCAATGAAAAAATATCATTAATTAACATCCAATAAAAAATACATCCATTCAATGAATCGTAACACCTTCCAATAGTCGATGACAACCGACATTGGAATATTGTGGTTAGGTATAATAAGTACTGCTCGCCACTTAAATTTTCACCTAGAAATCTGGGCAAACCTTTCTGGTTGTCAGTCAGCGTACTATCTGTGTCACAGACAGTCTCACTGACAGTGTGCTTTCTGAATGTAATGACTGGATAAGCTGGGACAGCCTGTGACTATTGCCAGCTGTTAATTCCATGTAACACACACATTCTGATCACTAGGCTTCGGAGTCTTGATGTAATCACTATCTTGTTTTATGAGTAAGAGATTTCCGCCAGGATGGACCGACGAGGACTATTAAAGCACGAAAACTTCGCAGAAAACCTGTCCTTTATCATAGAAACATCCTTGGCGATGTCTTGTGAATTCAGCTAGTGTTCGTCCACACACTCTAGAGGGTCAATAGCTGGTCTAGCAGTTATACAATGCTACACACGCAGTGGAGAATAAGAACTTGTATAGACAACCAACTGCTAGCAGCAAGGAACCACACCCCAGCCAGATGGTGACATCAAAATTCTAGTGGGTGACTGCCAGCCAAACTAGGAGCAAACAACACGGGAACAGAAATCACGATGAGTCGACAGGAGCTTAGTGAACTGAATGAGAACAGGGTACTCTTTGCAGACATCTGCGCCTTTAGTGGTTTGGAGATAGGAGGAAACGTGTACCAGCAAAGGGAACAAATAAGACGACGTGGAGTTCACCAGATAGACACACCAAAAATCATCTCAGTGTGATGCATGGAAATAAGACAACCGTGGATTTCGTTACTCTGAAACCAATCTGTTCTCATCTAGGACACCTCTTGACCAAATGTCTCATGGCTAGCGTAGGAAATAATCTCTTGCCATTTACTATCAGTGAGCTTCATCTTTACCAGAAATACTTCGATGATACTTTCATTATTTGTGATGAGAATTTGGATCTCAGAAATCTACTGCAAACCTTCAATAATACCCACCCAAACGTTGACTTTAGTATGGAAGTTGAATCTGACTCAATTTTCCATTTCCTCGATGTTCAACTACGAGGAAATGTTGATAACTCGCCGAAGAGACTCATCTAGAATAAACCAACATGGAACAGACAGTTTGTCAATTTGGAAAGTTGTGTCCTTAAAAGCAGAAAGAAATCTCACCTTTTATCTTCCCTCGGGAATCCGGAAAATGTGTACCGAGGAATCTGTTGCCGAAAAACTGAAAAATATCCGAAGAATCCTGATGGAGGATCGTTTCCCAGACAGATTCATAGACAAGAATGTAATGATGAATTGTTATTATTTCAACACAACTTGTTGATCTGAAGCATCAGAGATAGGACTTCAGGTGAACATAGAGAAGACAGAGGTGATGAAGATTCCTGGTCAGAAGCAACGGCAATAACAACAGGCAACAATCAGAATAAATGGGAGAAATCTGAAAGAAGCAACCTCCTTTACCTACCAACCCGGGAAGCATCGTTTCAACTACAGGCGGAACTGACGAGGATATCAAAGCGAGGATCGGGAAAGCAAGGCAAGCTTTCATTTCCCTCAAGTCTGTGTGGAGATCACTGTCGTGTTTAAAGAGAGCCGAGTTCTTCATGAAGTTGGAGTGCATTTCGGAACTCCGCTTCGCTGGGTGAGTCAACGTGAACCGACACTGGAATATTGTGGTTAGGTATAATAAGTACTGCTCGCCACTTAAATTTTCACCTAGAAATCTGGGCAAACCTTTCTGGTTGTCAGTCAGCGTACTATCTGTGTCATAGACAGTCTCACTGACAGTGTGCTTTCTGAATGTAATGACTGGATAAGCTGGGACAGCCTGTGACTATTGCCAGCTGTTAATTCCATGTAACACACACATTCTGATCACTAGGCTTCGGAGTCTTGATGTAATCACTATCTTGTTTTATGAGTAAGAGATTTCCGCCAGGATGGACCGACGAGGACTATTAAAGCACGAAAACTTCGCAGAAAACCTGTCCTTTATCATAGAAACATCCTTGGCGATGTCTTGTGAATTCAGCTAGTGTTCGTCCACACACTCTAGAGGGTCAATAGCTGGTCTAGCAGTTATACAATGCTACACACGCAGTGGAGAATAAGAACTTGTATAGACAACCAACTGCTAGCAGCAAGGA